TATAGGATTTTCGTATATGATATTCGGATATTTCTATACGGATATTTTTTATACAAATTATTTCTATACGATTTCTATAGGTTTGATCCTATACGACCCACTGCCACATGTATAGAAACATTTCGTATGGAGTTGCGACATTTTTTTGCGTTTTTCTCTGGAGCGTTTAGACATCTTTCGTATGAAAACAAATATTTATGTAAAAATTTATATGTGGAAATAATTCGTATAGAAAATATTCGTATAGAAATATCCGAATATCATATACGGAAATCCTATAGAATTTCTATACGTAATCCGTATAGAAAATTTCTATACGATTTTTTCATACGTGTTGTGCTCAAGAATTTACGAGTAATTTTCAGTCAAATCTTTAAAACTCATTCTCCAATTGTGCATCTTCAGTACTCTTAATAGAAATAGTTGTTTCAGAACTCATTATTCAAAAATTCCAAACATTTGTGACAAACTTGCAGCAATTAGAACATCAAAGAAAAATTCTATTAAAAATAACGATATGTGGATATCGAAGGTAATTCACTGCACAAAAAAGAAAGAAAAATCGTTCACGACCTTGAAACGAAGCAAAGAGCATTGACCGTACCAAAGTGAAATTGTGGAATTAAACTGTGTTGTCTCACTAAAAGGAACTCGGATAACGAGACAATGAGAGTCTAAGTCTTCCGTGGGTGTTTCATTATTATTCTCCCTAGGTATAGAAGTTTAGAATATATTTTCTATGAGATGAAAGACTGTAACGGGAAATTGTGTTAGAATTCGTTCGTGGGAACTGGCGAAAGAGGCGCAAAATGTTTTCATAATCAGATCAAACACTACATATTATGGAAAAGTGAAACAATATTGTATGTTGATAGGGGTTATTCAGGGAAGATGGAAATTATAGGTAAGGGTTTGAAAAAAAATGTGAAAACGATCTTACTTTTTAAGTGTTTAAATCTGAGATATTTTGATAAAATGTGGCAGTATGAATTTCCTTCTTCCATGCATCATGAGTTTTTTTGCAAACATACGATGGTTCGTAGATTTTGTATATGCAGATTTATGATTCGTTCAGAAATGTGTTGAAGAATGCTGAGGGTACGGTTTCTTCTTGGAAAAGTTTCTTGATCGACTTTTTTTTTAACACCGGATTACTCGTTTTGCACATCAATAAGCGGATTCCCGAGATTAAATGCAGATTTCGATGCGATATGAAAAACTGATGAAATATACCATCTCCGGCATCTAACTTAAAATACCTGACAAAAGCTAGTGAATATCATTTTTAAAAGGCTTTTTGCCCAATATTCCTATGGGAATTTTTCGGCCAATAGAATTACATAATTCGATGCCACGTGGTACAACCCATCTGGTTTTCAACTGACAATTTTTGGATAATTTTCTCTGGTAGTTGCTATATGAAAACCAAGAAATCATTCAGTCGAGAAAACTTCTCGTCGAATTTGACAGATCGATTTCGTTTCGTGGCGCAATTCTTTTGGCCACAATTTGGATTAAAAAATTCTCTCCCCTCGGGTGCGTACTTGGGCTTTTTAGTCGGCGAAACTTAACATCTTCATTTGATTACAATGAAACATTCGTGACATCGAATAATTTTGAAAATCTTGGGTTATTATTGCAAAGAGCTCTTCATTTGTTTTACCCAATAGTGATTAAATTACTGTATCCAGTTTGTCCACGATCCGTTCTCTAGGCATAATCTGAGAAATATCTTTCGTGCTCTAAATATAAGCACGTATTTTCTACAATTTTTCATACATACAACAAAAATTGCCAAATTTAGTCCTCAATCTGCTCACTCAAAATTGTCAAGTTGCAAAATTTGGTACATTCCTTTCCATGCAATGAAGCTATTAGAAAATACCCGAACATTTTGAAAAATTTGGGGTATGCTATTAAAAATTTACATGAAAATGAGAATGACGCGAGACACTTTATGCCGCTCTAGGAGCGCCACTAGGAGACCAAGAAAACTGGCACGTACGGTTTAATTAGAACTATCTTTTTCCGAATTACGGATGAACTTCATGGTGATAGCCTCATTCGCAGTTGAACGAGTATATAGTTATCATATATTTTACACATAAAAATCCTTCATTCAACCAAAATCGTCAGAAAAAATAAAAGAATCAATTTCGCGATTTTTTCCTATCCAATGAATGTAAATGTAATGTCCCAGTCTCAGTGCTGTCATCTACGTTGAGGTTCTCATGTCATTAACGACTAAGCAACCTGCAGGTTGATTGAACCAATCGCTGCTTATTCGAAAATTAAATAACTAGAACAAGAAACTTGATTTATGTTTTAGAAAGTAATTTTCAATTTCATCAACACCTAGTATCTACTTCCTACTATAAAATTTCTAAAAATAGTTGGCAGTCTCAAATAAAATTTGACTACCAGATTTATCCAACTCGATTTCTCAGAAACCTGCTCCAATCGAAGAATTTATAATCTCTACGATAATCCTTGTTCATGCATAGTCCTCAGCGTAATAAGCAGTGAACGTTGACGGAATAAAAACATCAATGACAGCCATTTAATGCTCTGAAAATGCTATTGGCTTTATTACATAGCCGAACAATACACTCTATATCGGGTGGAGCGAGGAAGAGTTTGGGTAACTGGGTTACAACAGTGAGATCTCCTATCACCAATGACTCACAGTTGAATTTTATGAGAAAATGAGGATACCCAGCGTATCCAGAATGTATCTTGTTGCAATTCGATAATTCATCGAGGAATGCAAGTCATAGTTTTCTTAGAACTCGAGTGAAATGAATATAACCATAACTTAATCATTCCATCAAGTTTTATACGGAGTTTCACTCGCTCGGATGTTTCTTTCAGAAGGAATAGTTTTACAAGGCGACATTTCTGTTGATATAACACGAGATCAGGGTAGGCGGGGGCATTGGAAGGAGTATTCAATCATCCAAGAGGAAGAGGCGTGCCAAGATTCATGTCTGGGAGCTTAATTGAATTCGAAAACGACCCTCTCGCCACTGCTCATCTGAGCTTTTCAGTAGTACACGTGAGTTACAATAATCCTTTAATCTTCTGAATCCGATTCATTATATATTGGAATCACCAGATTTGACATGTTTATCACGGTTGATTTTTACAGAATTATATGCTGAAGCATTCACTGCAAAAACACCTGAATTTCAGATGTCTATACACGGAGAGAATATAAAATTAAAAATTACAATGTCAACATAGTAATCGAGGACCATACCGAAACAACTTTAAAATTTGATTTATGTTAAGCGAATTTTTACTCATGCCAGATTAAATTTTACCTTTATTCTATTACTTTCTACTATACCGACTCGCTATTTTTACTACGTTCAACAGTAAATTTTGAGTGTGGCGGCTATGGTCCTCGATTACTATGTTCCCACAGTAAAAAATGATTTTATATTTTTTGCGTGTACTTAAATCCCAGATATTTTTGATAGGCAATTGTAACATGTCTTTCGATATTCTAACTGAATTATCAACATATTTTCATCATTCTGAGAAAAACTATTGTACAAAGTTGAAAAAAAATTACCGCAATCGGTGGATATCAGAATCATTTGTTTTCTCCTACTTGAATCGTAATTCGAAGAAAGAATGTGAAACATACATTGAGTTGAAATAGATACAAGCTCTCTGACATTCCTCCGAAACATTAAATCATTCAGGGGAAGTATTCAAATATTACGTCACATGAGTAGGGGGGGGGGGCTATTATTTTGTGACGTTTGTCACGAAGGGGGGCGTGGAGCTCTCCTAGGTTGTGATGTCACATTAACTTTTGGCAGTTAATACGTAACATTGACGGCAACGAGGATGCAGAATGGTACGATAAAGAGTTAATTGATGAAGAAGATCTCCAGGCACCGGATTTCTCCAACGATGCCGGAGCAACGTCGCTCCTTTCGATCGAAACCCATATAGCTGGTCCATGGGAATAATTATTTTAATTTTTTTTTATTCTTGGAACTATCCCAAAGATTCGCAAAGAGAAACTCCGAATGCTGTGATAGTAACAATAGCATTGGTATGAAATAAATAATTCATTTCTCACATAATCTCATATTTTTTGTTCTCATTCTTGTTACTAAAATCCCATTTCATGAAAAAAAACTTTTTTTAAATCGCCAAAACATGGGGGGTCTTGGATTGACGTAACGCGTGACGTAATATTTGAATGCTCCCCAGGATCGAGACGCCCATCGATCATCACAATTTAGTCTGGGTTATCAACAATCCCATAAACTTCTCAGTTATCCCTTCCTCACCACATAATCAAAGTGGAACCAAATATCGATATCGAAAAATATTCTAATGTCCCTGTCATAGATTATAACCAGGTTGACAGAACTGATATCAGAAAGTAGACAAGAAAATTTTAATGAAAAGTTGTTAAACAGAAAATGAGCATTCACCACGACATAGCCCAGAATGCTCTCTAGAACACACGACGTCCAATGCGGCTATGTGGACTCGTGGATCAGCAACTAGGTTATTTAAACGTCTGCAGAGACAACACTATGGAATGCAATCGATCCTGGTGAGCTTGTTTTATTTTTGCTGGATGACCTCGACGCACTACTCCATTTCCACTGGCTTTTCAACGTCTAGAGTTTGGGGTCATTTCTGATAGTTTCCCCATCGGTACGTACCTGAAATCAGAAATTGACATTTTTTAAAACGATTTAATGTCTGGCACGGGTGGAGATTTCCATTCAAACTATTCCTCATATTTAAATAAATAATTTCTTCGCGCCATAAGTTTTTATGATTATCCAGAACAGCAAATCTGCTAAAAAATGTCGAGATACTTTTTGTTTTTTGGCGGAAAAATTCTCGAGAAAAAAATGTTTTCAACTCTTCACTCAACATAGCTTATTTACAAGATAATTTAATAATCTAACAAAGAATTAAATGGTCAATCTTGAGAGGGAAGTAGAAATCAACGGAATGGAATAAAACTAATTTATTTTTTATGTATTCTTTTACATGCATCATCCTCTCGAGTTTTTAAGTTGTGTTCCCCGGGCTAACTTGTTTCTCTACTCTGCCACATTACTTACCCCACCGTGCCTACTGTTCAGCAATTTCCGTACTAGTCATGTTCCTAAGCCATCACCCATCCAAGTACTAAGTACCCACGCTCAACAGCCCAGTTAGTCCATACACTTTTCCAGGTTACGGATGCACATGGCATTTCTTTAAGCCTCAATATCCCAGGAGATAATTGGAATAGAAAAAAATGCATTGAAGCATTCATGTTCAATTTGACAAGAGGAACATTATTAATTTGAACTATTTTTTCCTTCCTTGAATAGTTTCCGGGAAAACTCGTTTTCAACAATTGAATTGTTAATAACTTGTTTTTGCCTCATTTGTTGACAAAACAACCTTCAAAATAGGATTCTACGTATCAAAAAACTGAAAAATATCAAGTCAACCCCTACTAAGTCTTAATCGCCGAATTATTGTTATCGATTAAATGAAACTACTGATAATCATTATTTTTTCTGCTCATTCTGCGAACGTTTCGGATCAGGGTTTCAATAGTACTGAAAACGTTGAACATTTCCCATTCTATTGATGCAAAACAGTTGCAGAAAAAAGTTTGCAAAATAATCGAAACTTCTCGAAATAGGGTATAATAAAAATATCCTAAAGTATTACCTAAGTATTCATTAACTATGCCATGGATGCTGTCGGCACATAATTGTCATCACGTAATTAAAACGATGCCAAAACCTAATATTGGATGATGTATGGGGTTTAACTCAAAATCGGTATATATATATATAGTTATATATATATATATAGTTATTGAGAAATGGAAAGTCAAGTGATATGCGGCGACGTTAATTCCGATTGCGGAATTCTCGAGGACGTGGCGTCCGCCCCAATAACGTCGATGCGGGTCATCGATTTGGAATTTCGAAAAAACTCAAAACCTAGCCAGTTCCCAGGGGGAACAACATGAGTAAATATTGCGGAGAATTTTTTCGATCAACTTTTTTTTCATCATAACAGATTTTTTTCCCATCGTCGAGAAGTGAATTCCTCAGAGCAAGTGCGGATTTTATATCGCGTGCGCTGGGGCGAATACGTAATCTTTACGGATGATGCAGCGGGTTAGTCACCTCTTCAGGCGAAGTGTCGTGTGCCTTGAAAAGGAAGTCGATAACCACAGACTGCGAAAGACCACATGAGGAAGTAATGCAAACTATTATCTAGGAAGGAAGATATAGAGTATCAGTTTATGGGGCGTAATTATTTCTTCAATATCACGGACGATTAATCTTTCTAATTGTCAGGTTTCGTGGTATACTTCGAAGAATTTCATTTTAATCTTTTTACATTGGTGTGCATTTGTATTTAATTTCACATTGATACATTGTGAAAAAACTCCCTTTTTCTCCATAAAGTTAGCGGAACAATGTCGAAAAATGCACTCATTTTTTAACGCAATATTATGTGCTTTTTATGTGTTTTTTAGTGCCAAAACAAAAAAATTTGGTGCTGCAACCCTCCCGAAGATAAGGGTGGGGGTTGCAAAATAAGGGATGATTTCAAAAAATGATATGCCATAATTATATGCTTTTTACGTGCTTCCGATGAGCGAGAGGGAAAAGGCAGAAAGGGCAGTTGCCCAGGTAAGAATTGACGATAGAAACAGGGCTCATCAAGCCCTGGACCAAGGCTCGGAAATGCTCAATCAGGGCTGGGGCTCAGCCTTGGATCAATCCTCCTTCAGCCCTAAAATGATAACCTCGTTTCAGGCTTAGTCCGCAGGGCTTGAACGAAGCTCGGTGCCAAGGCTTGATTCAAGCCTTGAATTACCACATTTTAAAGGCTCAATCGAGCTTCGGCTAAATAAACTTGAGTATTGTTTACAGATATTTGTATAAACAATTTCTTATTGCTTCATAACCCTTTTTATGAATTTAGAGTAACCTATGAAAGAGAGTGCGGTCGGACCGTACATCACTGTTGCTAAGCGTTGTTGGTGATTGTGATTGTCGGTTAATTAACAATGGATGGGAAAAAAATTAT